CCCCACAAAAAAACAACCCTGACCGTAACCTTGCAACTCGTTGGCTAAACACCTTGTGAATAGATGTTTTCATCTGACTTGCAGCCTTGATTATAAACAAGCGCGTTTGACTTTGAAAGTCACATTCAAATTCAGTTGAATTTGGTTGAATTGTGCCAGAATGGTATTGTTTGCTCCTTCACGAAGGAACAATCTGACTGGCCTTGACTGAATCAAATGTATTTGATTGGCAGTGTGCACTATGTATAAGAAAACAACAGTTTTATTTGTCTTTAAAAAAAAATGAAAATGGAGAAACTACCCCCAAATATATAAATAAAAGTGACAAAACGATTGAGATGTGGTGACATTATCACCATTTCTTAGCTGTAGTCCTCAACTCTGCAAAAACACAGACACCATGATACAAACCGGCCCTTTTCAATGTCAAATTGAGTCCTATGATAGAAAATACAATGTTGTTCTTCAGAATTGGGTATAGGGTTGGCTAGACTCAAGACATCAATATAAAAACAACAACAACAAAATACATACAACATGTATGAAATATAATAACAAGAATAACATTAATAATAATAATAATATTAAAAATAATAGTAATGTAGATAATCATAATTTATTATTATTAACGATTTTACAGAACATACAAATACATCATTACATGAGTACCAACAGGTAACTCTGTAAAAAGGGCCCCATGTTAATACAGTAGTCTCCGCCTAAACGCACGCCATACAAAAGTACGCTCCGCTCAAACGCAAGCTTTCGTCATCTGACGGGTTTTTTACTATACAATTTAGACATACAAACGCACGGTCACTCCCTCTAAACGCACGCTCCGATCCGGAAACACGGCGACAAGTTAAGCTTGGTAAGGGGAAATTTTCACGACAACCTGCACAGCCTGCATAAGACAAGCCTAGAATTTACTAGAAAACCGGATATTTGGTGAGAGTGCCCCCGCCGAACAAAGAGAGTGATGGACAGCGTTTACACACCCTACTTTCCACTGACGCATAGGTCTCGGTCTAGGGCTGGTCGGATAAATGTTGGGGGGGGGGGGGGGGGGGGGGGGGTGGGGGGACTTAAGTTAAATGTTTTTTGATTGGTCACTGGAAATGTATCTTTGAGAGAAGGTTTCTGACTGGTGTTTGAGTTTGAGTGACTGCCTGTAATGTTTAGATAGATCTAGGCCTGATGCGCAACACGCGTAATTGCTGTAAAACATTAGACAGGCATCTATAGGATTAAATATTAGCCAAATAAGCCTAATAAGCTACGCTCGAAGAACTTATAACGTACTTGTTCAACGAATCACAAGAGAAAATGTTTCTCGAGGATGATTCTACATCTACACGAATTTACGGGCGGGGGCGGTCGCTTGGTAAAGCCACGTAGCCGGTCCGTCTTCTCTATGACTATGACTAACAGTTTCCTCTTAGGCTATCTGTTCCCGACATTATAGAATCTAGTGCATATTCATTACATTGAGTTTGTTTGTCGCTCCCCCCCCAACCCCCATTCAACGCCTTTGTATTCTTAACCCCTGTCTGGGAATCCTTCACAAAACAGTCACGTGTCGTCACATTTTCTGCCAAAATGACCCCCTCCTCCAAGGGAGATCACTAGAGTAATAAGGAATCGAGATGACTGCGTCCCTTCCTCCCTTTGCTCAGGTTCATGTAAACGCACGCTCCGTATAAACACACGCTAAGGAACCCTCCCAAGCACCTTGCGTTTAGGCGGAGACTACTGTAGCTTATTAAACCTAGAACTAGTAACTAGTAGTTTGCAGTCTATACTGACGACCTGCTGAACTGAAAGATCATATAATGTATTATATAAAGCCACATATTTATCAGAGACGGGATCACAAAACACAAAAGTGTAAATCAATGTATCACTCAATGCACTCAATAAATTTTTCAGTCATAATTCTGTCTTGCAGACATAGATAAATGGAACAGTTTTTCTATTATAATACATTGAGCCATGTGAACAAGGAAAGTCTTCACAAAGTGAGTTAAAAACTATTTATTGTAAACACCTGGTCGTAAACTGCACACTTAATTCACTTCATGCACTGCATCCAAATCAACTTTCTTCCCTGACGGCAATATATGAGAAACATACTATAGGCCTACGACAGAGTGTTTTGTTTGAAATGTTAGTTTTCCCAAAATTAAGTCTGTATGAGAGTGATGCACTAAAAGGCAACACACAGGCCCACATTAAAAATCCTGAAAATTTCAAATAGTGATCTATGCTAATTATCTCTGAGTATAAGAACATTGATACAAAAGAATAAAATGTAAACATTATGTACTTAAGCCATCTTGTCATCATCAATGATTGATATAAGGGAAAGGTGATCTCTCTGTTTGACTGCTCGTGGTAAAAATTTGTACCTACAGATTATATTGACTAATTGTACTTATATGACAGACAGATAACTGATAAATTCAAAAATAAATAACAGAACCGGTGCCAATATCATATTTTGAACTTGCATAAGTTGAATACATTGTATACCGAAAAGAAATTTCTGCATAGTTTAAAAAGAAGGTGAGGGGAAGTACCCGAGGACAAAAAATAAGACATAACTTTTTTGATCTCAGCAGGGAGATTCATATTACGATGTCATGTATAACAATCAACATATATGTTACAATAATAATAACTGATTACATAATAACACGTTCAAAGAGAGCAAGTCCTATTCAAAACGTGATTGAATCTTTGCAAGCCATCAAGCATAAAATATTTCAACAGCATCTCTTACAGCAGTTTAAAAGCAAAATGTGAATAGTACGCTAATGGTTAAAGCTAAAAAACAGAAAAGAGTTATTCAAATGCCTTAGTTTGAGCTAAAAAAATCATAAGAATGAACAAAGCTTTAAAAAATATGCTAAAGACTAAATATAAGGAACAATCCATACATTATAGTGTATACTAAACTGGGTATCTCAAATGGTCCAGCAATAAGGCGCTGTTCAGACGACCCATTTATGCAAACTTTATGCATAGTGTACAACCAAACAAAGTTATGCCAACTCTGAGAGCTCAACAAACCTGGTTTTATTAGGATGAGGTCAGCAGTATAAAAGGATCTGCATATACATCAATATCAATATCATTTGTGCGTTTAAAGTTCTGCAGTTCAAGCCATCAGATTCAAAAGCCTGAAGCATTGTTCTTTTAATCCTGAACAAACCTACACAGTGAGACGGACTACAAAAAAGTGCATATATGCACATCCCGCGAGTCCAAATTTATCTGTGTATCTACCAAATTAGGTCACACACTTTTTTGGTCTCAAAATACAACAACCATGTCAGCCATAAAAGAAAATCTAGACAAGACTGAAGGTGTCTTTTGCAGGAAAATTGCTAGGTGATTTAGTCACACATGACACAAATATAAGAATGAAATTACGTTTATTCTACTTTTTTCAAAATCAGAGTCCAGGCACAAGCACAGTTAAGAGTCGGATACCAACCACACGACTCATTTTACTTTTGTGAAGGCCGTAAATTGTTGGGGAATTTTTCTGTTGCGACACAAACAGAACCAATTTGACTTGATCGAAGTCAAAACAAATACAGACGGCAAAATTCACAAATCTTTGAAACCCAAGCCATCTGTTATCACTGTCACATTGTCGAGGGCTGAACTCATCTTACTCACCAGATATGTTTGGAATGGATTTCAAAGCAAAAAGAGAACAAAGTGATAAATGAAAAGTTTTCACCAACATTGTTGTCCTTGCTGCGCATAGTTTTCAAAATATAAATGGCAATTGATGTGATGTTTCTTTAATTTACAGAATCTCTGTTCATCAACCTCACAATTATGTCAGCTTCAAAACTTCATACACATTGTTCCTAAACACGCGCTTGAAATGGGGCTCTGGCTTTTTACTCAGTAACTGGCAAGCAGGACTGGCATTTCGGTTTTGCACATCTTCAAGATCCCATATTTCAGGCATGGAACATCCGGGTCTGAAGTGAGAAGAAAAGAAAAAAGATTTTTTTAAACATGCCCCAGGTCTCATTATTTCACAATCTTATAAAGGATGCTTTATCCATGTTTGAGGAACATATAATATCAGTGAGTCGTTTTTTGACGCTGTAACTTCATTCTTGAAAGAAAAATACTTTCATCAGATAAGAATTCTTTATGCATTTGCCTCAATGGAAGAAAATTAAGACAATTGGACGATACAATCTCAATTCTCCAAAAATGTGTTATCCCCACATTTTTTTACATTTACAAAGAAAACAAATGGACTTTCAGGATGTGAAACAAAACTTATACAACACAACCTGTAAGAATTATATCACATTATAATCAAGGAGAGGAAGTAATGAATGAAGAGCTAATGCCTGGTCAGAACACGGAATCAGAGGACAATGATGAAGATTTTAGCAGTGATTATTAATTTCGTACAAAACAATGTTCTTTTTTTAAGGTTGGGGCATTTAATTTCAGAACCACGTCACTTGTGAGTAAAATTTTGTGAAAACAATGCTTCTGGGGGGCCTTTAGTCAGCACTCCATTCTTCATGAGGCTCAAAAAACCTTGCAGTGTGAAGAACCTGTAGCCAACTTCCCTTGGTATCAAGCATGGGGGGGGGGAAAAAAAGGGAAAATCATCCAATTCTAATGAACAAAAAAAACATTTTGAACATTCCAACTTAAAACGTTTTCTCCAAACACAAACAAGCCTATAATACACTTTGAGAACAGTCCAGTTTTAGACACATGTTAAAGATTTCATTGATACTTTTAAGAAAAAAGAGACTGCCTTCCTAAATTACAGAAATGAATAGGATTTCCTCAATTCTGACATATATATAAGCATGAATGATATTCATCTCTTAACCTTCATTCTGCGGGGGCTGGGTTTATGTCGCCCGATAAGCCTATTTCAACACCTCGCCTTCGTTCCGGTCCCGTGTCAATCCAGCCCCAGGCTCAGCGCACGCGCGCCGAGCATCAATCTGTTCCATTCAGTTCCTGCATTCACGCAGCTCAAGTGTGTGTGCGTCAGTCTGCTTGAGTTTGTGTGCATTTGTGGCCTACTTATAAAACCGCCTGAATTGGTTTGTAACCGAGGCATAATTGTCATTCAAAATACGCCAAGTTGGTAGCTCTACATGTTCGTCCAATGAAATAAGAACAAATTGACCCACTTAGACAAGAGGAGCTCGAAAGGGTAGTCAGGAAACAAGACTTCCATTTTTCTCTACAAAACTTTCAAATGAGCTTGATTTTGTATGAAATGATATTACCTGATAGAAATAAGCTTATTTGATAGTTTTGAATACCATTGTGCAGGTAAAAAGAACAATTTGAGTGCCAAACATTTGGAAATTGACCTATATCATGCCCTTTCGAATCCCAGATCATTCATAACAACAAGAGCGTCTAAAAAGGTTATTTGAATGGGCATAACTACTCGTAACGTCTTATCAGCTTATGAGAGGGGGTTATTCATGTGTTCTTAACACTTTATAAATAGAAAGCTATAAAAGATAGAGCGTTATTTTCATCATTGATTAACACACTCCCACGGTATTCATGGCGAAAACACACGTTTCAAGACGCGCTCGCTGAACACCAACAGTACACACTGAGCGACCCCGGCGCCCTGCCCGGAACGTCCGACGTAATCGGTTGCTGATAAGATTCCCATCTCAGCACAGATGCAGGACAAGAGTTAAATCTCATTTTGAACAGCAGAAGCACATTTGAAAAAAAAAAGTGATGTTGCTTGAGATATTGTACACTTACCTTGATCTTCTTGAACACCAGGAGGACTCAAGCACAGCATATTCCACCCCAAGACTCCTCAGATTTGCTTTGACCTCTAGCACTGGCTTCCGACTATACATGCTGTACACTAGTTTTGTTCTTGCCCTGTACAAAATGTCCAAGGAGCAACACAAATTATCTTCTCTTCAGGATAAGAGGCAGTTTTATACATCTGGTAGTTTCATATGTCATACAAATACAACCAGCAACAAAAAAATATACACAAATTTTCTTTTTTTTTTCACCCATTCATCAAATGATACTTTTTTATCGGTAGTTTAGCCCAGCGAAGAAAAGAATATAGTCTGCTAATAAATTAAGAAATGAAAGTCAAGATAGGAAAGAGAGAGTAAGGAATCAGCACACTAGATCTATATGACCTCTCATCTCATCTTAACCCATATCCATTTATTACAACTAAAGCTGTAAAAGACCCCCCCCCCCCCCCATTTTTTTTTCTCACATTCATTGGAATAAAAATCTCATCTGCTAACACAAAGTAAAGGGAAAAAGTTCAATTATCATTCACCACCAACTATTGGACTATATATGATGCATCATATATTCATATATATTATAATACACATATTAAATATACATTAAAAGACGATCAGAAAAAACAAACACCTACCTCAGACCAGCGTCTTCATAGTGGGGATGATTCACAATTCGTCTCAGTGTACACAGCTTTACAGTTGCCATGGTCGGCATTGCTCCAGCAAAGACGGCGTCTTGGGAAAAAAATCGAAATAAGATAATAGAAAACAAACGTACATTTCTAACTACGCCCTAAAAAAACAAGAGTGATGAAATTACTCAACAAACTAAATCACAAAACTGTGCTATTAGTTTGATCAGTTTCTTCCTCTATAGATTGTTCTTGAAGTTATCTTACTGAACAAAATATTAATGAATCTGTGGCACGCCATTAATTGATTGGCTGGGCTCTAATTCTAAATGACAAAAGAAAAATAAAGCAGGTTCTAAAACAAAACATCTTTTTTGACTAACTTCCTTCATGCTCTAGTCTATGACTACCATTATCAGCACTAATTCCATCATACAAAGACAATGTAATCCAAACGGTCACGACGAGAAGCAGAATTACACCAACAAAAATTTTGAGATAATAATATAATAATAATAAATAGCATTTGTATAGTGCATATCCCCACTCTACGGCAAGCTCTATCTAAGCACTTTCCACTGTAATATTATTACCCCAGTAGACCATAGAACACTCAGAAACATTCTCAGCTTTTTTGGAAGCATGCAGTGCAAGCAGCTGATTAAGCGCTCAAAACACTAACAAACTGACAAGATCTTTCACTGTCTAGAGCTGGGTACCCATTCACACCTGGGTGAAGTGAGGACAGTTCATGTAAAGTGCCTTTCTCAAGGACACAATGTCAGGCCCCAGACGGGATTCAAACCCACGACCTTACGGTTGCGAATGAGAGCTTAACCAATAGCCTGCCCCACCGATGGATGCCACACAGACTGTGCTCTGTCAAACACCTGTCCAAGACAATCATCTGCACAAACAAACGTTTCCCACTTTCCCCTTCCATTTTTCTTTCTATACAAACTTAAACATAACGGTCACTTAAGATCAGATAAAGAAGTGACCTTTATAGACAGGTGGCTGCTATGGACACGGTCTGATTTATGGTGACTCACTTCACATTTGAAAATAAATTAATAATAATAATAAATGACATTTATATAGCGCTCAACCCCGATTAAAGTACACAGGCTCTAACATGGTACATGTAAACCACCAGCAGTAACAAACGCCATAGGCTAAAGCAAAACATTTCCTTTTAACTCTATCTTTTCAATTCATTTCCATCAAAATTGTTATTTATAATAAAAACTCTTTCAAAAGACATGCTGCCAACAGACTCAAACACCCTTCAAGGATCTTATCTGTGCTACAGCTGATAAAATAGACCTCTCACCTGATGGTGTCTTTGCCTTGATCCACTCCACCAGTTCTTCTTGAGCAGGATTACTGAATTCTCCCACTATGCCCCTCTGGTGTTGGATATTTGCAACTCCGTAAAATCCCATGACAGCAAGAAGGGCAATGAGGGCGGCAAAATGGGTACTTTTAGACCCCAGGGGAAAGATCTGCATGAAACAAGTGAACAAAGCTAGAAAAAAAAGCACAATTTCCAAACAGGAAAAACCCCACCACAGACACTCAACTACCAAAGTCCTTTTTAAAGGTGTAGAAAAAAAACTTTTTCCAAATAATCATAACCCAAGGGCACTGAAAGGGAAGGGAACACCATACTGCAGTATAATTCTCAAATGTAACCTGGCATTAAAATATTGACAAAGATTACTGAATAATCAAATGAATATTGTTGCAAGCTTTTGACCTGTACAGAGATACATTGAGTGAAGAGAAAAGTACGCAAAAATACAATTACAATGTTGAAGCACTCTGTGTAGTCCCTAAGGTTGTAATTTACAGGTAGAACAATTTGACTTTGTAGCCTACAATCCTAATACCCTACTACTACCCTGTCAATGAATAAGAGAAAAAACAAGATTACAGCTTGTAGCATGAAATATCATAGAAAAACTCGAAACTAAGAATATCAAGAACAGAAAATAAAGAATGAAGTACAAAGAAGAATAGAATAGAAACACCAGCACTCCTCCAGAATGTAATGAAACTGAACGCAAACTACTTTGGGCAGAACAAAAGCCATGTTCAATAGGAAAACATACTCTGGTAGTAAAAGTAGAAGGCAAAAGAGGAAGGGAAGACATGGAAGAACATGGTAACAGGACATAAAAACCTGGCTTGGAACTAAAACAACTCAGGAGTCAGGATCACAAAAGACAAAGTGTTTGCTAATTGCAGAAAGGTCTAAGAAGTAACATCAATCCAACTACTAGAAAAACTAAGAAAAACAACACCCTTCTACACACACACACACATATATATATATAAATATATTTGAAAGTTTGAAGGCAAAATGCTTGACTCGATGGGAAGAGCAAAACAGGAAAAAAAGAAGCGAGAGACTAAAGGCTAAATCTTTCCTCAGAGAAATTTGCGCCCGCAACCCGCAACTTGCGCGCGCAACTTTTGCCGCCAGCCCAACTTATGCCATTTTCGTGAATTCGCGAATTTGAGCCAATTTTCCACAAAAAGTCCCAAAGAAGGTGTAAGATAAAACTTGAACAGCCCCAAACCACGCTGATCACACCTGCCCAACTGCGAAAGTTTAAGGCCCTGACGTATGTGTCAGGGACAAACTGTTTTTGTACACCATGCAACCTCCATGCAGTTGTTTTTTTGTTTTTTTTTGAGTAGACATTCACATTTAACTTTTGATTTTGATCTAACAAAACTCATGTAGGTCACTTTGATTGCAATGAGCATACCAACAATGTATTCCAATAGTTCCAAGACATTTTTTTAGCTATGCTCGTCTTGCAACCTTTCTTGCAACTTTTGATAATTTTTCTTGCAACTTTTTGCAACTTTTGCTATTTTCAAATGCAACTTTCTCTGAGGACAGGATATATCATTATCAAAGTGGATATCCCACAAGAACATCAGAGCACAGAATGTGCCTTAGAGAAGTGTTCCTCCATCTGAGAGGTTGCAGCTCCTGCTGGATCACAGTGTCTTAAGTTACTCACCCCCCCCCCCCAACCCTCCTCCCCACCCTCTCTCTCCTCAAGGGGAATCTATCCACAAGATGTTTTCATCATACCATACCGGATGCCAAGAGGTTTCATCTCTGCTGTTAGTTAAACATACACAAACACATACACATACTCACTCACACGCACATACACACATGCACTTACATATACACACACATGCACACTTACACACATACACACACACAAACATGCACACACACACACAAGAGCATACACAGACACACACAATCACACACACACACACACAAGTACACACGTATACAAGCATACACACACAAACATGCACACTTACACACACACAGACACACACACATATACAAGCACACACACACACACACAAACACAGACACACACACTTACACACATACAGACACACACACAAATACAAGCACACACACACAAATATGCTCACACATATACACACATCATATAGCAGTACCTGTCGTGAGGCGAGTAGTGCAGAATACAGGCACAAATGAGGTGTCCAAAACAGTTTTAGCCTCATTATAAGTAGTGCCATTGCAGTGAACGCCAACAGTTGTAGAGAGTGGTAGACTAACTGAAACCAAATAAAAACTCGTTAATCCTTCTAATTTCTCATTCGATATTGTGCTCAACAAAACTTGGGGAGGATTACTATATATTCATTTTGCCTCTTTCACCCTGGTATTGGGTAGGCCTACTGGCTGTCAAGAATAGCTCTCCACCAGTCTCTGTTCTGAGCAATTTTCTCCACCCCAGTCAGCTGTGTCCCATATGTTTGAAATCTGCATCTAGACCTCGATCCTACGTGGATTTTGAAGGTTTACTATGGAAGCCATTAACTATGGTTTGTTATTTATCCAGCAGCCAATAGGCTCCTACCCTTTAGCTCAATGCCATGCCGCAGGTAGCAAAGATCTTTCAAGTAGTTCTCTGTTACAGTAATAAGTGTCATAAATACATGTACAGAAAGAAATTACTGACTGAGATATTTACCATTTTAAAAACACTGAGTATTTTGGGGGGAAAAACAAAGGGGACCTATTTGATTTCACTATCAGTTACAAATTCAACAATTTTACCACTGTAACATCAATTTTTTTTTAAAACCCATAAAATTAAGCAAAATGCTTCAAACATGAGAAAAACTATTATTCTGATGAGTATAAAACACGGAAATGAAGTAAATAAAAATAAAATTGAACAATGCAGTGTGTTATGGCTTAGGGAAATAATAAATTATATAAATCCATGCTCAATTACACAATACGATCTCTCGATATGATTTTAATAGAACTGATGAAATAAGATCACAAGTATAAGGTCACAAGTATGAAAAGGATAAACAGCATTAAAAACAACCCATCACAACCCCTCTCCACACAAATTGTAATATCACGCAGTGGCAGATATGTACCGGTAGGAACAAAGAAAGAAAGATACAAAATAAGTTTCTTACCATCTGGTATAATGCTACTGTTGAAATAAACATCAATGTGTATTGGGGTAGATTTTTTAAATTACATAATATATAATTTGAATATAAGTATCTATAAAACTTTAAAGTTCTGCGATAAACTCCTGCATGTGGTTGAAAGATGCATCTGATGTGATTAGTGTATTACTGTTAGCTTTACTTTTCTCTTCAAATTGAATTTTAATGGGAATAATAAATAATTTATATTTTATGCATACCTGCATGCGTTTTTACCATTCCTGTACAGTCAAGAAAAAAGATTGGGACATTAAACTATTGTCTTATCTGATCTTATCTCATTACACACTATGAGAAAACAGTTGTTTAGAAATCTCCAACTACAACAGAATTAAACAGCCTACTTCCTAGAAAATAAACGTTAAGATGACTAATAAAGTGTGCTTTAGTGCAGTAACAGATCTGTTATTTTCAGCAACAATCATTATTCATAATTGTACATTTCACTAGAAAAACATAAATGCTGAGACTTATAAGCATAATTTTTTTCATTTTGACAATGGACGAAATAAAGTAAAAGAAACTAAATACTCACATCGGCGTTAGGCTTTGATTGATAGCTGGGGAGGAGGTGGGGGTGGGGGTGAGACAAAATACAAGTACTAAATGAGTAGAAAGAATGGAAAAATATTTTAAGTTTTTCCTGTGCTTAGCACTATACTCTTTACTGTCACATGGAAGGAGACTCCTTTCCCACTACCGCTTTGTCATCAGTGAGCTTTGTGTTTACATGTGAAAATTTGGTTATTGAAATTTTAAAGCTTGTGACTTCATGGGTTTAATTTTCTGGAGGCAGGACTCTGGTTAGTAAAAAAAAAATCTACTTGCAGATATAACGCAAGAAGGAGAGGTGTAAAGAGAAAGCAGTATATTGCATATTGTGCGACATTACATTAGAATGGTATCAGAAATTGACAGTCGAAATCATCCAAGACTGTGACCCATTGTCAAGGAGAAAAGTGGTTGTCTTAGACAGATGGGAGTCTTGAACAGTGTCATTATATTATAATATAAAACAAATGAAAGGGGAGAAAAAAGAAGAGGCCATTTGTACAGGTGATTGTCTTGGAAAGATGGCCCTTAGAACTGGTTCGACTGTAATATAGTAAAAAAAAAAATGACACCAGGACCAATGAGTACTATGGTTCATTAGATTTCAGGAATTTTCCATCACTCAACCCAACAGGGACCAGCATTTTATTACACGGACAACCTTACTGACGAAGAGGTCAAGTACAATTCGTTCAGCAAGTGAATAATGCAACCAACAGGCAATATTTTTTTGGGGTGTGACGAACAAAAGCTGTTCACAGAGAACTACATTATATTACAGCCATCTACTTCTTGCCCCCCCCCCCCCCCCTTTCCAAATTTACTACTTAGTCAGCAAATAATCAACAGACTCCGAGCAGTGGAAAATTTATATACTTCTCACATTGCACTGTGCATTAGCGAGAACAGCAAGCTTTTGTAAACTGGCAAATCCAGCACACCACCAACCGCAGGCGTTCACGTAAGTAAACACACACTAGATGTAGTCTTTCGATTGGAAATATGCTGCAAGAGAATGCTATTCAGGAGAACTGACTCAGTGAAATGGAAGCATATCATTCACAGCCCTCATTTACCAACTGATACAATTAGTATTTTTGTTGTAAGTGCCAACAAACATTTATATGAACAAAACTTACTTTGTCTTTGAACTGTCATACTTTGAGGTGCCATTTTCTCCTTTGCTTTGTTCCTCACTTGAGGAGCTCACTTCTGCCTTCAGTAACTTTGTACGAAAATGAAAAAACAAACATTTTGAGTTAATTGCTAGAAATGTAGAATACAGAAGTGAAGAGCTATGCCAAATCTGAAACAACAGACAGTGAGTGAGATTATGAACTCATTATATCCAAAATAACTTTGAACAAAGAGCTCAAGAATTTTACAAAAATGGAAAGAATATTTGTGTAAAGAATACTCACACGAAAAGTCACCATCAGCAAGGCGATAGCTGCACTTGGAATCAAAAGGGTTTGGAAAAGCTTTTTCAAAGTCTGCAATGGATAAAGTGTATGGTAAAGAAAAAATACAGTTAATTTGCAAAATTTTTTCCATAAAATTTAAAAGCATTCTTTTCCTCTATACCAAATGTTTAGACTAGGCACTAACGGATTTTAAGAAAATTGAGCAGTCTTTTTTTTTCTTCCTTGTTCTCGGGTATTCTGAAAGCAGTGTTTTTCCTTACATTCACTGTATGTTTTCAATAATATTTCATCAAACCATCTGATGTAGCCGACAACATAGGTTAAGTCTCTCTGAGGGCTAAATACAGTTGCAAATACTTGATAAAACTCAAAGTATGACAGTAAATTCATCAAATTTGGTGATTTCATTGTGTGTTGCTAAATTTTTAAATCAAATGGATTTATCAAGAAAGATATTGTCATTGAAAGAGCAACATATTATAGCCTTCACCCTAATAGAAAGACAACAATGTTCTCTGAATAAATACAATTTCACCTATACCTCTGCTTCAATGAAGTCGAATTCTTTTGCACAAGTGTACAACATGGTGTGGAAGTTCTGGAAATCTGTGAACTTGCTTTTAAATATTTCTCCAATGTGAGCCTGCAAAAGTAGAATAAAGTAGAAACAGTATTTTTCTTTTTATGTTTTTAAGAAATTTGAATAGCTTTGATTGGTTATAATTACATTCAAAACCCCAGCTTCAGTGAGACTTCAGTCCCCGCCCTCACATGCAAGGAGATTCAAACTGTGTTTGACTACTGTTCCTTCAATCTATTGTGATAGTGAGTCTCTTTCAGAATGTTTGCTGTGAGTGGGTGCCGTTTTTCCCTTAGCAATCACAGACACAGGCTAAATGTTGAAGTTTGTTAATAAGTAAGTACCTATTCAAATTCTAGTAACTCTGCTCACGTCCTGTTCTCAAGATCAGTTACTATAGGCTAAATCAAATTCTAGTGTCAGCATAAAGTACTTTAATTTCATCTCAACCTGCATTAAATTCATGCACAGAACAAAACTTTTGAAATTCTGAAAAACCTTAAATTGGACGGTAGTAGTGATACATCTATTGAGGTGTGACTCTAAATTAAATCACTCAGCTCATCTTTATTTGTATGTGCACACCTTCGCTTCATCAATGTAATCCTCTGCCTTCTACACTATTCAAACTTCTCTACCCTTTAATGTATCAATAGGCTGCATATTAACCCTCACGATGATATCCCACACCAAAATAAGAAAAAAAAATAACAATCTAAATATATGCCTACCATGAACAGAATGATCCTAATTTTTTAAAATAATGATAATAAACTGATTCTTATGACAAAGAAAGCATCTCACATCATCCTCTAACTGCAAGAGCTTTCCAATGATCAACTTCAAGGCCAGGGCTGCCACCAGAAATATCACACCTTGAGACACCTGTGGACAAAGAGTAATGTTTGCTTTCACTGGGAACGTTAAGCATACCTATTGATACCCAATATATTACATGTATATATGTCACGACGTGGAGGAATCAGGCTCTCGTCAATTTTTGGGCCTGTGGAATTATTGGTATCATCTTAAAGCTCTTTTATTGGTCTTGCTTTCACTGAAAAAAATATCCATTTATCTTGGATACAAGTCGAGATATTGATGATTGAAGGAGATGGGTTTCGCCTGGTCTCAGAAGTAAAATTAGAGAGAAAATGTCCGCCAAAGTTTGGTGACTTCCATAGCTTAAGAGTCCTTGGAAACTGCAAATTTACATTTTTTGTGCCTTTAATCAATGTTTTTCCACAAAATCCACACATAAAAGTGTTTTGAATGGACATGCAAGGTGTTCGTGTTCAGCAAAAAAAAAAAAAAATTCTTTTAAAATTTCCAAACTGGTGGAAAAATGCCTGTTTCTCCAATTTCGTTATTTTGACGAGCACTTGATTTCACCACGCTGCCTCACATATGTGGACATCAAACTGAACAGCATTACATCCAGTAACAATCTTCACAGAAATACTGTTTGCAAGATGTATATTACATGCATTTATCAAAATAGCAACAGAAAAATAAGAAAAAGAGTCACTGCAGCCAGTGGCATTAATTTAATATATCGAATTTCATATCCTGCTTTTCCAGTACCTTTCAGCCATTCTAAGTTATGGTCACACAAAACAGAAAATTATTTACACCTGTTGCTGTTGTTTATAACAAAGTAGTGGGATTGTGCTTAAAAACCAAGATTTCAAAACTTAACAACATCTGTTGAAAAGCTATAGACCCTATATACACTTCTCCCATAAAAGAAAATTTGATATTTCTGTGTTACTGACTCAGCCACACTACTTTTACAATAAAGCTGACAATGAATGAAACTTACCAATCTAAGGGTCCAGTGAGGCAGTTTAGCAAGATACCCATCTAGGAGAACCACAAACTGATGACAAAAAACAGCATCATCTCAAACGTAAAGTTTTATCATGTATCTTAGCTAATGTAAACTCTCATTTTCTAAACATGCTTGTGAAACTATGGCAGTCCTGTCTAAATCACGCACAGACAAGAAAGTGGGAAATTGTTGACAATATATAAGACACACACAACAGAATAAGTTTGATACATTTTACCAGTATGCAGTATCAGTAAACCATAGTGATGGGCAAAGAAAAGTAGAAAGAACATAAATCAGCTTACACAGTGAACTACAAAACCAATTCAAAGTGGTAACAAGTACACACAACTTCAATTTAAAGAGAGAAAAAAAAATATCTGGGAATACAATGACGAAAGGCAGTATGTGTGGCATTCTAAAACAAGCATTGCAGATAAATATTGCCAACATGTTCCACAATAAGATGTAATTACAGACAAAAAACTGGACTTGAGTGATGGGAGGTACAGTCTAGCATAGACATAGCGAACACACACATATTGACCAGATTTTTACGTCCTGCATTAAAAAAATTATACAAGTATAATCTTTGCATTTTAAACACATTAGCAAACTTTCTACATAATGAAAAGATTTCCGCATCTCATGGATTTCACTATGTGCATGCTAGACTATAATATAAAATTATTAACTTACCCAGGCAGCAATTATTGCACATGCAAAGAATGACGTCAAAAGCATTTCATTTCCAAATAATAGAATAAAGCTAGACATCAATCCGATCTGAAATGATAGCAGAAACAAAGAAAAAAGTTCGCAAAAATTAGCACAATGAGCAGGAGCAATAAAACACAATGCTGATAAAACCATTGTCTTAAATGTAACAGTGATCAGCTAACACAGAGTCGGTCTTCCATACAACTATGAGTACAGTGAGAACAGAAAAAAGCCATGATTCCAAATTGTCATAGTAGATTTTATGTTAATACATTTTGTGACAAAAACACACTTCCATATATATTTTAATAAAACAAAAGTCAATTCCTTCAGTTAATAATCTGAATATGAAATAGCTATTGAGAAATGTAACTCCAATTCAATTATACAAATTCAAAACTATCAAAAGCGAAAGTCACATGCAGCTGGATCATCAATCTTTAACACACTGATAATTTTATTTCAAACATCAGAAGCTTGAAGAAGCTAATTTTGACACACTTTTCCCTCGGTGAATCTACTTACGGTCTGTCCCAGCAGAATGGTTCTGAATGTCAGTGATGAAATGAATTGTAAGACATAAGTTCCAAAAACAGCCAGTGTTTGGGTGAGCAGTGCAAACTGAGCAAACTGAAATGAAAGAAAAAAATACCCCCAAATTTTTTTTTATACGGTATACACAAATAATCAAGTAAAATAAAATTGTACATCATAATATTGATAATACATTAGGAGGTAACCCTCAATATCCAAAACTATTCAGAAAGACAAGATTTGTTTTAAAATATTACGTTTTTAACAGAGTAGGATGGGCATTGTATTCACTATTTTTTTTTTTCAAAATAATGTCACTACTACAGAGAGCTATTCTCCTTGTTGGTATAATTGGTGCCAATGTCTTTACAGAGATTAAGAGACATATATTATTGTGGTAACAATGTCAAGGGAGACATGTCATTTCAATACATAATTGATCAAATATATAATATTTACATATTATATTGTAATAAAGTACTGAAGGCAAACGGGGCAGAGGTAAGCCCAGGGCAACCAACTTAAGGAACCTAAACAAATGGGTAACAGGGAAAGATCAGGGAAACGTAGCTTTTTTAAGAGCATCCAAGCAAAGGAATGAATGGAGAACCATGATCGCTGATGTCTGTCGCAGATCTGGCACTGGATGATGATGATTGTAATAGAGTAATAAAAAATCTATAAAACAAGAACATGACTTCATAAGGAGAAATTTAATAATTTCTTTATAATTCAATTTATATGGATATGACTCAGTATTGAAAATGTATATTCAGTAAAAAACTGCCGAGGATCATCGAGCTTGAAACAAACTACATACCTGCCATGAAAGCATGAAGGCGAGTTGAGCAAATGCTATCAAAAAAGCATATTTCAGAGAAGATTTGTGGTTCCTGCAAAACAAATGGGGTATACATTACTTTACAGTTTTAAAGCATCTAAAACATTGCATTTTAAGAACATATATATATGTACATGCACATCTAAGCATTTATGTTGCAGAGCTTGCACAGATACTTAATAACTCAAACCTTCTAAAATGTCATGATTCTCAAACATGACTTTGACTTTTCGCTTTCACACAAAAAGTTTATAAATCTAATTTTCAAAGAAAATTTATTTTTTTGTCTTATAGTTCCTCCTGATAAAGTGTACTCCTGAATTTTAAAATACCAAAAACTGATATTTTACTTGGTAATTTAGTGACAAACCTGATCACCCTACAAAATCTTGTCGCTACAGAACTTACTTGATCACTATGGTGACAAGAAACATTTGCAGAATGAAGAATGGATAACCAAAACTTTCCCGCAAAGGTGGAGTCCATTGAACACGGGTACACTGAAGGAAAACACAAAATTTAGTTATAAAACAAAATGATGATATGTTCCACACACATCAGTGCAACAATTGACAACTAAAGCACCTCAGTATTTTCATGACATGAAGTGAAGAAAAGTGTTATCTATTTGACACTTTATAGATACACTTGAAAACAAGATATTTTACAGACTTCAAAATAAGTTAAGGACCACTTGCAAATTTGGATAAAATTCCCAGAGGATTTCCGTGCTGCACGGGGTGGTTTTGCCCCTTTAGGAAGCTTTGCAGTATGCATTGTTAACCCATTAACATTTTCAAAGCAAAAAATTTTGAAACATTCCTTGCTGTCTTTTTTTTCCGGATCAAAAATAAATCAGGGTTGTATGTCAAGGAGGTCATTAACTTATGTAGAAGTCTGTATCTTCGGTATTGCATGTGGGGAAATACCTTATAAAGGCTAAGAAAAATATTTTGTCAAAGATTTGTTCTAGAAGCCAGTGCATACAGATTGAAACTGATTAAGACTGACATAAAACTGCAACATTAACTATGATTGGTCGCTATTTTGTAACAAGTTGTCAAATCTTTTAAGACTTTTTATCACTATTTATCATTATCTTATTTGCAAACTATAGAGAGAGGAAGAGTTAAAGAGAAATATAGGTGATTAAAGAGCATAACATAGGAGTTGTAGCATTATGAATTTGATCACAAGAGTAACAACACTAACCCTTCATCTCCTCGAGAGCTGTCCTAATACATACCCTGAATTCCTAGAACAAGGGAAATAATCCCCTAAAATACCAGGTTGGACTATATTTGAATACCTTTCTTAGAAAAAAAATTCTGAGGTAATTTTGTAACTGTAACACGTCAAATATCCATTGTACAATTCACATCACCAAAGAAATTTTTAAATGGTAACAATATAATGAGAAAGCACAATTCTATTTCTTTTGTATTCCCAGGTACACCTGAAATCTTTCCCCCACCCCCGTTCCCAGTGTGTCATAGACTTAGAGAAAACAAACTGCCCAGAGCAGTGTATATACTCAAGGAGACATGAAAGTATTGTAAGCACAAGGAATGAGACTTTTCAAAGTGAGCTGACCAAGAGAAAAGTTCATACCTCTCCATGGTTGTAAAAGTAACAGGCCACAGTAATGAGACCACCAAAGATACTGTCACTGTATATAAACAAAAGAAAGACAAAAATATAGAAGTGAACAAAGGCCTGACAATTAAAACAAAATACACTGTATGCATAAAAAAAAACCTCTGTAAAAAAAATATTATGTTAGGTAACAGAGTCTATGTGCCACGAAAACGATTTTGAAAAATACAATTAACCTGATCTTTTTTCCTTTCACAATTTGCCTGCACCTCCTATACATTAATGGATAGGATATGGACCTGGGGATTCTGATTACACCATTGTCTATTTTTTTCCCCCCCAAAAAAGATACTTAACCTTGCTTTAGAACTTAACCGTTCAATTATATTTCCTCACGTTTACATAAAATATAATATCTTCTGGACTTATCTCAAGTGCTGCCTGGTCCATATCCAAACATGAGCTTACTATTCAAGCCAATGAAGTTCTTTTACAATAATAAGACATTTTTGTCTGCAGACTTATTTATAAGGCAATTTTGCTCATTAGGAATTGAAGGAGAGAATGTATACTCATCAGTTAACCCCTTTGTTGCCTTATGACGTACCCGGTACATCAAGAAAATGGGAAGTTTATAGCACTGTGCCGTACCATGCACATCATGGAAGTGGGAAAACTTTGCCGGTCCTGGTTGCCTATATGATGTTACATGTATGCCAAGCTAATAACCTGCCTCTAATTCTTCCGTACGGAGTTTTAACCACAAGCGCTGCGTAGATTTGTATTCGAGAATAAAAGACACTCATATCAGTACCAAATTTACTAGTATTATTTTACAGCTAGGCTAGTAAGCGATCGATATACATAAATAAAGGCTTGTGGGCGGCCGTGTGCCTTCATATAACGTAAACATTGAAATGGTTTTAAAAAGGGAAATAAATTCACTTTTCGACTTAGATTTGCAGGTTATTCGAAAATATGAGTAAGATGAGAGAAAATGGGGAATGAGAAAGATGACACAATCAAAGACCCGGTGTCCTAAATATGTTCGGAGTGCGCTAGATCTAGACCGCATGTCCATTAAACACCGAGACATTAGGCTGCTGTCCTTGGTAACAAGCTCAGCTGATAATAAGTACTGACAGTAGGAATGCATACCCCCCTTGCAACGAAAGGGTTAACAGAAACATTTTCCTTCATAAAATATTTACTCACACATAACAAAAGAAATGCAAGTGAAGCAAAACAAGAATCCTGTTACCTGAGATATGTTCCAAAGAGGAAAAATGTTCCCATCATTAGGCCATTCAAGAGGAAGACAGCTTCCACATAGAAGTAAGCTGGCTCTCCTAAACCTGTGAAACAGAAAATACCATCTCTTTACGATAAGCCGTCATGAGACCAAAAAAAAGCAAGAAAAAAATCTTATACTGATCACTTAAAATTGTCCTCAAAGTGTGGAAATTAATATTGGAATTTTTAACATTGTCTCCAAAATAATAGTAAAAAAATTATGCGACAGACAGATGTACATGTATAATCAGCCTGCTACTAAACCTTACAAAACATGTTCAGAGGGAACAGAGAAGACTCAATTTTTTAAATTCATATATACCCTGATCCGTGAAAAAAAGCTTTGTTCACCTTCACAACTCTGCACAGGGCTAAGGTTTTCCCCCCTGTTGACAGTCCAACAGGACTTTGTCTGGTGGCCCATAAGGTCACTAACTGTGACGTAGAAACGATAGGCAAAACCAAGAATAACCTGTGAAGAGAATAAAATCTCTAATTAGAACAATGTATTCGAAACAGTTCACAGGAATACCAATATTAACACCCAGTTTCCAAATTTAGATAAACATAAGTAAAAACATCATTTTTTATCTCTTTAACCATGTCTGGACGGTGGCAGCGTCCGGTAGTCGAGGCCCGTAACCATGGTTAGACGGTACCACCGTCCAATGTACAAAAAGAGAAAAGATATCTGGATGAGCCGAACTGACTGCAACACTATTGGGTGTACATGAGAGTATATATATGTATGTTAGAACAGCTAGCCACAGGATTTACTTCATAGTCAGGTGACCTTTCATTAGAAAGGATATGAGACTATAAACTATCACGTTAATTTCAACCCCTGGGTGTCATATCTTATGCACAGCAACCACGACATGACATAGCTGCTCTATACGTTATACTTCATGAAGAGGTCTAAAATAATTTCTGCAAATTACATCAAGTCCATGCACAATACCCAAGATGAAGTATTCACAGAAGCTAAGAAAATGAGAAACAAAATAAAGAGTTTCTGTTGTACAGCTGGCACATCACCACACTCGCCTCTGGATACAGGTTGAACCTCTTGAGAGTGTTGATGGTACTGGGGTACTCTGTGATGTTGTCCCGCATGATTTGGTGAAGGCCATCAGGGACAGAATCAGCAGTGATCATCGTTTTGAAGTAAGAAAAGTATAAACCCTGAAGATACAAGACATATTATAATAGTATAAGTATAATAAATAAAAATCTTATAAAATTGTCAGTCCTCATGCATACACAAATTGAAACAGAACAAATTCAAACTCACACAATTAAAAAAAGCGAACTGCTCTCAAATGTGTTTCATCTATAAAAATTTCTACAGCCCAACACGGCCTCATGAAATCAACATCGACAGCTTAACTCTTTATCTCCAAGGGGAGTAAACCCACTACGCCAGGGCCCTTTTTTGGTACTAAATCTGAAAATGATAAAAATGTCATAAAATAGGTTATAAAATCAAAATATCAAGTGAACCTATTTTGATAGTTCTTCATCTAAAGAATGAACTCCTGGTAAAAGAGATTACCAACAAGTAATTTGACGTCGAAGTCGTCATAAAGAAATATGCCCCTGCGGTTCAGCGGCTTGCCAGAGAGAAAGAGTTATTACAGTAAATCTCTACCTTACATCACTTCAATGTGTATTTAGGAAGCATCAAACATAAAAATGTATCAATTTGCGAGCTAATATGAACATAAAACACTTGCACTAAAACTGGTCACTCATCAATTTCCTATCATGTTTGCTGATTTGATACAGAAGAAAAGCATGTCATTGTTAATGCAGCAACCACAGGTCCACATAGAACTATCAACTATTCAGTACATCATTTCTTTTCTACTCCACAATCCTTTCAAAAGTAATCCAACTAAAAGGTATTGCCATCAACAAAGCAGACGTTATCACATATATGCTAAAACAAAACTAGCAGTGTCAAAAAAGTTGACCAAGCTACAACACATGATACACTAAACCCAATCGTCATAACAGTGGATCATACCATTTCAGTGCGGAATGCCAGTTCCCGTTCAAGGGTGGACAAATGAGAGAAATGACGGTCACTTTCAAACAGATTTGACACGTGAGCCCTGAATTGAATGGAGAAGGGGAAAAACAAGTCAAATGAAACGCACTCTTAGAGCCAACAAATCTCTTCAATAAATTTAAAAAATAATATCAAAATAAAGTGAAGGAAAAAAAAAAAAATATTTACAAAGTTCCACATAGTATTAAAATCTACCGTTTCAAAGTTTTCCTTGAAAGGGAAAACGTTAACAAGTAAATTATAAAGATTTTGTCACTAGAATCACAAATTTTAAGTCATTAATAATCATTTTTAAACTTAAAAGTCTGAAGTGTTACATTAACACATCTGTAACCTTATATCAAAATACCACAGAACATTTTTAAGCACGAAAATTACATTTGAAGTAAAAGAATATATATATAAGTATAAGCAGCACAATGTAGAAACGGGAATAAGTATGGACTCACCTGTGGAGGCCACTGACAATGAGTGCTGGGGATACAAACAAAAGAACATATATATTTGTTTCCATTTTCACAGATGGTCTACAAAGTAGACACTGCAATATATTCTAAATGCAACTCAGATGAGCATATTTCACAAGCCTATGCAGAAAGCAGCCCTAACACAAAGTCAAACCTTAAAAGTTTCTGAGGACTAGAGAAGAGGAGCATGCAAAACTGAAGAAAACGCTTTTCGTGCACAAATCTGAGTTGAAATGTCATAAACGAGAAGTGACTCTAGCTCTAGCCAAGAGAGTATCAAAATGATAACCCCCCCCCCCCACCTTATCCCAAGTATAAAAAAGAGCATCCAGCAAGTCGTAACACATTTGTTCCACAAGCATTCAAGTTATTAACATGCTAATTAATTCCTGACTGCGTTGAACATGGGACCTGAATAAGAGTTCCTGTAACAATCAAGATCAGATTAAATCATATTATCTTAAATGACAGGTTTGTGATTTTCAAGCAATAGCAATAATAGTAAAAACCTTTTCAAAAGTCATAAGCAGGCCTTGCTGCAGACACATTTGTACAAGACCATCAAACAATGAACAATTATCTAGTGCATTTGCTTTGATACCCCCCCCCCCCCCCCCCCCAAAGGAAAAATGCCCTGACTTTCACAAGGACCCATTTCAATCACTATACCTGTCAAAGAGAATTCCATAAACTTCCTTAAATGCCTCAACTCTCTGTTTAACCTTTAGAAGCTTTTATTTCTCTCTATTTTTTCATTTTATCTGCTGCATCTACCTACTGTGCCTTGTGTTAATACAGAATCATGATCCTAGCCACTTAACAGTTTGTTTGCTAACAGGCAATATACAAGTTCATTGGCGAATTCACTTTGAGGGAAACTGATAGTAAAATAAAAAATCTGGCACACTGAGTGCAGAATGGTGTTTGAAAGAAAGGGTAAAAATAATTATTAAGTGACAACAAATTTCCAACACTTGTTGTAGATTCCCTTCTTCACAATCTCACAATGGCAGCATAGAACAACACACGATTCACAGCCAGCAAAGTTTGAGAAATTCTTGTAATGGGTCATTTAGACATTACTATCTTTAGAATTACAACCTTCTCTTTTATGACTTTTCAAAATAATATAATTCTTTTAAATGACATTTTCTCGCTTCATTTAGGACCCTTCCTTTGAATTTTTATATATATAAAAATATCTTTCTATACTGAATACAAATTTGTTGGCGTGTCAAAAGTATTGCAATGAAAAGCTTTTTTTCCCACAAGTTTCAAGACTTCTTCTTGAACGCAACATATAAATTCCTTTTTTTAGAGGGGGGGAGAAATGAGCGAGAGAGAGAGAGAGAGAGAGAGAGAGAGAGAGAGAGAGAGAGGGAGGGGTGGTTGGGGGGGGGGGGGGGGGGAAGGGAGGAGAACTATATATATATATACATGCATCCTTAGGCAGAAACCAAAAAAATTGGGGCAAGAGCGTAAGTATCAATGGAAAGTGCAACCATTTTTTGATAAAGTGGAGCTTAAATTGAAAATGATTCAACCGAAAATATAGTTGGTAATCCGAAAGAAAACAGAAGCCAAGATTTGTTTTCCTCTTTGTTTTTGTACATAAAAAACCTACCAAAGCCAAAATGCTCCTTTTTCTAAACCAAAAAACAATTTTGAGAGTTATGTTGCCTAATTCTTCACTGGCACAAGCTGATCATCAAGTCTTACACGCTTCAACAAGGTGAAACAGATGAAAGACACGAGAACCCATGTGTGTCCATTGCAGGTCACAGAGAGCTCAGAGAGGCATCGCCAGTGTTCCTGAGAGCACTGTTTGCCGACATTTTCATTTGTCAGAAGCATCAATATGTCTAAATATGATCTATATAGTGACACTAGGCTAGTGAGTGTACAACCTTTGATGCGTCATTACCTAGGCTTTCTCAGTTTCAAGCAGTATTTCCGAAATAGGTGGTTCCGGCATTGAAGGCTGATCCCTAGATGCTCAGAGTAAGAACGTAGCCCTGCCTGTTTCTCAGTCAGGTGAACGAAGATCAGTGCGAAAAGCGGCGATATACAAAAATGCATTTCAACTGGTAATGGAGCGTTCTCGCTTGTACAGGCCAGATACCGAGCCGGGTGGCTCCAGCATTGAGGACCTGTCACACCCGGTTACGTCCACGGTGAGTCTGTGTGGTGAGGTGAACAAGGATCAATGCGAAAAGCGGCGATAGACATATATATGCGATGAAAGGGGTACTGGAGCATTCTTGCTGTGCAGAACCGACTAGTGGGTAGTTTTTTGAAGTGTAATAAAAGTTTAGTCTAGTGGTATGTCTCCCAGTCTCTGCATTGTTATCATTGATCTTGGATGTGCATGTTTTCATTTTCGTTTGGATTTACTATGACCATTTCTACACTTTCCTCAGTTTTAAGGATTACACTATGTGCATGTTCTTATTTTCGTTTGGATTTACTATGACCATTTCTACACTTTCCTCAGTTTTAAGGATTACACTATGTGCATGTTCTTATTTTCATTTGGATTTACAATTACCATTCCTACACTTTCCTCAGTTCTAAGGATTACACTTGTGCACATATCATATTGTGTTTTAGTGTTGAGCAAGATTTTAGTTTTATTTCAACTTGTTGACCTTGATCGTGACAGTGAAAGAGTTAACAGCTGCTATAAACGTATTTTCAGTTTCAGTGTGACGCATCGTGATTGCAAGAGAGACATGGGAAGAAAGCGTTGCACGTGGGGCTGTAAAAAGTGGCCAGCCAAAAAGCAGATAGTAAAATAAAAATATTATAGATTTCAAAACAGCGTGGTTGGTGGGTGTTCTAGCATAGTTTGTCCCTTTCTTCCTATCACACACTTACCGGCGAACTCCCCTCTTTTACTTTGTATGTTACTCTCTAGTAACATGATCTCTAATCTGTGGCACTTATAAAAATATGAGTTCTGAGTCGCTGGTGCTGTACAACTCTTATTGAAACAAAGATTGTCAAAGGAGTTAGAACGAACAAAAGAGTGATAGTGATAGGGTGTCAAAAGTATCCCAAATAAATTAATCTAAATGTATGTATTATGTACTTACTACTACAGCAGAAAATGCAACTGACTGAAACAGTAGTTGGCTCTCATGCATTTCCCACCTGATGTATCATATTATTTGATATGGGCGGGACAATTTATGGTGCCCTCAGATGCTCTTTGAGATCCTCCATAAAAAAAAAATTCAATGTAATTTCATTTCAAGATGCGCCACCGGCATGACCATAATATGTTGTGGCTCCCCAGCACCGAAGAAGAGAGCAACTACAGAAAGTTCAGCTTCTTCTTTTAAGTTTAAAGCAATTGATATTGATGAAATGAACATATATATTCAAATTCGAGCTCTTTCATCAAACACTAAATTTAAACTGACAACCATCAGCAATCCTGCAACTTGGAGCAAAAATAACAAAGCATTTGTATAGCTCAGCGGAGCTCGGGGTGGCTTCTTTCTTTGTCTATGAATTTACCACACTCATGACAAAGTGCCACTTTAGACAGCAAGAACTTAATTTGATAATATAGATCTAGCATTAATCGTGGTGGGCTATATTTTCTGACTCTTTTCTTTTGTGACTTTACATTGTTGGTCTACCTGTTTGTTTGGTTTGGGGTTTTTTTGGTTCTTTTTCCATAAACCTATGACTATGAAAATTGTGCAGACACAGACTAATGGAGATTTTGTGGGACTTTCCTGGCTTTTTTCATTTGACATTGTCATTACCAAGAGTGCGTTTATGTCACTGGTTAGTATCTTCAATGAAGAGATTTTCTCAACAAAGCACCTCGAAGAGCAAAAGACTGATGCAGAGATAAACTTCAAAGTTGTCATCACGATGTACATTATATATATTATATATATATATATATAACAACTTTATTTATTAGAGGTAACAGATTGCTTTCTTTATCAACAGCTGATGGGAATCAGATGATTAATCTTCTTTCCTAGGAGCTAAATATATCAAAATTGGTAGTATTATATGAGGAAGATGTCTCTTGTTTCTGTTGCAACTGAAGATGTGATCTTCCTTTTTTTATACGAGCGAGTAAACTCACACAAAGGAACAAACAATGAATAAAAATGTATTGAATTTAAGTAAGGTTCATTGTCGGCCAATGTAGTGAGCACAAGAGAGAATCACTCGTTAAGCACCTTTGTCTATCGCCCCTTTTCGCACTGATCTTCGTTCATTTGACTGAGAACTGGGCCAGCCCTCAATGCCGGAGCCACCTATTTCGTAAATACGGCCTGAAACTGAGAAAGCCTAGGTCATTACCTATTATCTCTATGGACCTATGATGAGAAGATCGACTCAATAACAGTCATAATAGTACTGAGAAAAGATAAGACAGACAAACAGAAACAACAGAGGTAAGGTAAAGAAGCAGGACCTACCACAAGCAGCACCCTCCGACTACATGCTTGAGCTTGTGCATGGCACAAGATGTGTTTAACGACGTTGTTGTCATTTTGGGCCCCGCTAATTTCCTTCACGTAAGCAATCTTCACCTCTATAGACTATTATTATATATATAGGCAACTTCAAGAGCACACAGACAGGCTGAATACACAATGTGAAAAGCTCAACATGAAGATCAGTAAAAGCAAAACGGAGACAATGAATATCAGCAGAACACCAGGCAACCTCAAGATCAACGAAAATCCGCGGAAACAAGTCAGCGAATTCAAGTATCTTAAGCATCTTTTCGGAAGACAGACATCTCAACAGAGAAATTGAGACGAGAGTATAAAAGGCTAACCGTCAGCTACCAGCTTGCCCCACTCCTCAAACATCTTAACATCCCCATTGGGACCAAAGCCAAGCTCATTAACTCTGTCTTCATCCCCACCTTGACCTACCAGTGCCAGACATGGACCCTGGCCAAAAGTCTGGAACATAAGATAACCACCTGTGAGATGAGATGTCTGAGGAGAGCCGTCAACAAAACCAGACAGGACATGGTCAGAAACAACAAGATCAGAAAAATGATGGAAACACCACCTGTCCTCCACTGCATTCAAAGGCAAACAATCAGATGGTTTGGACATCTAAAACGTATGGCACCTCGATCACCAGCTTGTCAGTAAAGCCAACTACAGAAAAGTATCAGGGTACAAGGCAAGAGGAAGACCAAGAATAGACCTAGATCTAGATCAAGATCTAGGACTAGGGTGTGAAGGATACTCTGAGAACATACAATATCCCACCCAGCGAGGCCATCAAACTTGCTAGAGACGGAAAACTCTTTCTCCCCTCGACGCCCTAGAGGTACAAAAGAACGATTTATAAAGTAAAGTAAAAGTACCATGAGGATATGATTTAAGTTTCAGAATTTTATTTTGTTAAAGTAGTCTAGACTTTTGGGCCGACTTTTGTACTGAAAGAAGGGTTCTGTTGTCTTGGTGGTAGAGTCAAGTCTAGTCTAGCTGAAATAATTGAATTCTAATGAATCTGAATACTCTCTTTCGTGTCTGTGTACAGATTCTCTGTCTTGTCTCTTTAAAAATCAATGTCAAGCAGAGTAAACTTGACAGCAGGGCTGAAAATAAAAATGATAAGTAGATCGAGACATTAGATCTAGATTCTAGATCTAGAATCTAGATCTATAACTAACTACAAGTCATTTTAGTCATAATGTACAATAAATTGATATTTCAGCAACATCCCAAACAACTTTTTAGTAAGTTTGGGGCCACGTCATGACATCGATCCCCCTGTCCCTTTCATGATCGCATCCGTCATTTAATCTGTTCCAACTTCTGCTGATTAGTAAATCGAGAACAATTCAGAAACTCAATAACTTTCTTTTTTTAACTCAAGATAATTACCTAAAACACCCAGAACAAGTAGGTATGAAAGATTCCATGTCCCTTGGTTTTTCTTTGATGAAACTCCAGAGTCGTTCTTTGAAGAAAGCGAACCTTTACTTTGTTTCGATTTGCGCTGTCTGCTAGCGGCAGCCATTTCTACACTAGAATCTCTAGAGTAAAATAAAAAGCAAAAAAGTGACGCCGGCGAATGAAAGAAGATGCATGCAATTAACTGGGTATTCCCCCTCCCGAACATTCCCAAAAATATAATTTCAGAAAAGGGGCCAAAAGAAGTGCAGCTTCTTCAAAAACATAAACATTGTATAGAATCTAGAGCTGAACTGTTGATTTTCTTATAGAACTAGATCTAGATCTATAATAGAATCTATATTTAATTTTGTATGGATTGTTTTCTTCTTCTTAATTACAAACACTGGGGTCTCCAGGACCAATGAGATATATTCGTTGACTGAAAATCTTAGTGCAAGTTTTTTAATAACCACAAAAGAGCTATACGGATCTTAGCAACATAAGTTTACATTGGAGTCAAATTTTCATGGCCGATAGAGTGTGTACAGAACTTTCATGCGGACATTAGCAAAATGGCAGAAGTAATTAACGATAGATCTGTCTTGTCTGATTCAAATACAAAGCCCAGACCTAATTTCCAAACATACATGGTAACTGATTCAAATGCCAGAGGTCATGCTGTGCATCAAATTGAAGAAAAAAGACGACTGAGACATATGAAATTCCCATCTCTGAAGGGTAGGCATGATGTTGATTCTTTTCAAGAAAATGTGGATTCGAACGTCGGATTCAAGCGATGGAATGATGAAGGAGAATACCATGCGAATGCTCCATACAGGACATACGACAATACTGTTGACCCAACGTCAGGGTTTGTCAGTGCTGGTGGAGATGTCGACAGACAGACAGGGCATACTCAAATTAGGTCTTTGGTCCAACTCAACAAAACTCCCCAGGCAATGACTCCGCGGGGCCAAAACACCGTTCGAAAAGAACCAGCTGCACCCCCTGAGTTGAAGCGTGAAGCAACATGGTCTCCTGGAGTCCCAACCCAATGGAATAGTCGCAAAACATCCGATATTTGGATGCGCTCAAAGCTTGGAGGTAGGCCTAATGATTAAAATTGTTAAATAACAGTCCTCTAGTTGAAGAGGTTACTAATTTCTTATTTTGAGATTGCACATAACAAACTATTCAGATTGTCTTACTAGTGCTCCTGTAAAAACTGCCTATCTGACAAACTGGCTGTGTAAAAATTGGATATTACTTTAGTTTCTCTGTTCCCTGTATGTGTGTCCTGTGCTTTGTTCACACTCTCCTTTGAATTTGCATTCACTGACATTTATCTGGATGATGTCCATATCAAATGTGTAACCTTCAAACATGCTCCAGAATTGTCTTCTTGTGCTATACATACTATACATGCACCCTGTAATTTAAATCAGTGTTATATGGGGCGGTCTCCTCAGTAGGCCTACTCTACCAGCCTTCTTTGTGACCATGCATCACCCCCCCACCCCC